CCCCTTGAGCATTTTGATCCTAATTTTCAAATGTTTTACCATTTGCAAATAAATATGCATGTTTTGCTAATTACATGGGAATAGAGTTTACCTATCTGCTTGCTTGTGCCATATTACTTGATAACCGTCCTTTGTCAACCTTTGGTGATAATTCGACTAGCTTGTGTTACTTATGTTGACCTAGCTATAAATATATGCTTAGCCATGCATAATTACCACTAGCTCACACAATGGGATAATTGCAGTATTAGACATTTTAGTATCAGAACGAGCTGCGTGCTCGTGACATCTAGCCATGTTTCAGTGGTCATAATTATCCAACTAAAATGCGACTTATTGGTGGGTTTTTGGTGCATGGTTTTGCTAGTCGCACCCATGGCAATTAAGGACCGGTTCCCGGGATGCACTGGAAGACTTACCGCGCTTACCACAAGCGGGAATCAGTAACTGCTTGATCTGTAGTATAGCTTTCATCTGGCTGATGGTCACAGGCTAGGGTGGGCGTGATGGAGTTGGGTCGGCCGGGGTGTTTGGTTGATCGGCTTCCGGATTCACTATGGCACAAGGTGGGGGGGCTGCCCGTTGCCTGCTGGGGACGGGGCGAAACCTGAGGTGTGGTGCGATTGGTCAGAGGAGGTTATATGAATGGTCTTGTCACAATCACTCGACATGGTGGCATGTCAGACATGACGCGATGACATGTCAGACCTGACGCGATATCATATATACTATAATATATGAGATTAATATTAATTGGAAAATTCCTGTGGTTTATATATTCCTGTGTTCCGAACGCTTCGTACTATCAAATTCCTTTGTTTTTCAATCCCACATTTTGCATATGCAATCCTATATTATTTCTATGTTTTTCCTATTCCTATGTTTTTCCTATCCTGTGATCCGAACAAGCCCTCAGCCTAATGGAGTGGTGGGATTTTTTTACTCGTACTTGAGAATCCGGGTGGGAGAACTGTTTGTGAAAAAAGAAAGGAAAATCCGGAAGCGTGAAAAATGAAAAGGAGAGTGGGACGGTGGGAGCGCCTCAAAAAACGGAAAAAGCGGACGGGGCCGCTACTGTGAGTTGCGCTACTTTGTTTCCTAGCGCGCGGCGCCTGTGTGTTGCGTCGTGTAGCATGACCGGTGGCGCTACGAAGCTTCGTAGCGCTACTTACGACTTCCCCCACCACCAAGGCAACGAACCTTCGCGTGGAGTTAAAATTTAACTTAGATACAATTAGGTGGTGCGTTGAGATGACATCGTTGTGGAGTTAAAATTTAACTTTACAACGTGAGTTATCTAAATTAGAGCTACATAAACTCAAAATATGAATGAGTTAATTAACTATTAACTTTGATGGCGGTGCGCTGTGGAGGTGGCCGTCGTGGAGCTCACCACCGCGGAGGTCGCGCCGTACGCGTAGGGGCGGAGCGGCGGCCGGATCCGCCGCCGCGTTGCCTCCTGCCCGTAGTAGCCCGTCACAGCCGCACCCGCCGTCACCCGTGCAAGATCCACGCCAGATCCACGCGCGTGGGGCGTGGAGCGGCGGCCGGATGCTCCGCCTCCTCACCTCCTATCCGTAGTCGCCCGTCGCCGTGGCGCCCGCAGCCGTGCCGTGCCGGATCCGCCGACGTCGTGCCCGCCGCCAATCAGCGATGGAGGTGGAGCTGCCATGCCTCCAGCCCGCATTCGCTTGTCGTTGCCGCGCCCACAACCGTGCCGAGCCGGATCCGCCGACGTCGCACCCGCCGCCGCTAGGCGGTAGAGGTCGAGCCATCGCGCCTCCCACCTGCCAATGCCGCACCCGCAGTCGCCCGTCGCCACCGTGCCCGCAGCCAATGCCATGTCGGATCCGCATCGTCACTCCTCATCATCCCCGAACCACCACCGCCTCTCCTCCTCGACGCCTGTTCTCCTCGTCCCTAAACCGCCACCACCGCCGCTCCTCCTCGACACCAAGACGTCACCGGAACTGCCTCACCGCCACTCCTCATCCCCTAACCGCCATCGCCGTTCCTCTTCTCTCCACGAGGAACCACAAGCCGTCGTTGATCCGTAAAATGTGGAGAGGGAGAGGAAAGAGTGGGTGGACAGTTTCTACGATGGGAATCTGTAATATATATACCAGATAAAGTCAGTACATCGAGTTAAAAAAATAACTCAATGTGCAAACACCGTTGGATCACAACACACACATTGGCTATCTTGCTAACAGTTAAAAAATAATTGGCTTCGTATTTAACAATTCATTGTATGATTGAGTTAAAAAATCGCTCAATGTGCAACCACCGTTGGATCATAAGACACACATTGAATAACATCAAGTAAAAATTTTACTCTGATTATGAGAGTGGGGGGAGGGGGCGAAGGGGTGGGATTGAAATTGGTCGTCGGTGAGTTAAATTTTAACTGCATACTATGCATCTGGTGGGGGCAGGGTGGGGATTGTGTGCGGGTGGGGTTTTAATATATATATATATATATATATATATGTATATATATATATGTATATATATATATATGGGGCAAAATTATATACTTACTCCTTAATATTCTTTTTAATATATGTATTCTATTTGTAAACTTATTTTATTTTTAATATGAAAAAAATGAAATGAAGCATATACTCTCCTACCATATTTTTAAGAATATGCGTGTTCTATTTATAAATTTAATTTTTTTTAATTTAAAATTTATGTATAAAGTATATATTATATGGAAAAGATCTTCTTACTCCTTACATAAAATTTGCTATATGACACTTAAAAAATAGTCTTTACTAAGAGACACGGCAAAATTTAGTAGATGCTATAGGACACTCCAAAATTGAGGTTATTTTCCCGTGGGTAGTCTTTCCATTAAAATAATATATTCAGATGATTAGAAGAGAGAATATAGAATACTCTCAAAATGACATCAATACCCCTTTAACCTTGTTCCAGAAATATTAAGATGGGCCATTAGGAAGCCACTCGCCATTTGAGAAAAGAAATAGGAAGAAAATTAAGGGAAAAGGAATCCCCAGTCTCTTCACCAACCGCACAATGTTACATCTCAGATCGAAGCTTCAGATCAATAGCAGAATTAATATTGAGCCATTGCGGAAGCTAGCTAGCCAGTAGCCAACAATGGAGACAAAAATTATTAGTAATGGTGAGTCCGCTGCTCCTGTGAGCAGAGCAAGTTTTTAACTTTGCATGCGCGATGGATGAGATCATGCGGCGATGGTCGCTGGAGCAAGCTCCCGTAATTGGTGGGAGGGAGCACGACACATGATGTCACGTCCCCTGCTGCTGCTACATCAACTCCTGCCGGTGGACCAATGGAGAAACGGCCCATGCGGCTGAGGAAGCCCAGCATCAAGACTGGGAGGTGTAATGAGGAATACTTAAATAAATAGGGCCTTGTTCGCTAGCTGTGGGAAATAATCCAAAGAAAAACTAACCCACGTGGGGTTTGGGTTGTCCCCGCTCCCCACACCCAATCCCTTCCCCCCAATCCCCTTGTTCCCCCAATCTCCTGGCCTCTATTCCCCTGTTCGCTAGCTGGGATTTCCCTGTTGGTTAGCAGTTTGGAGTAGAAGGTGGGATTAGAGGTGAGATTAGAAGGGATTACTACCATTCAAATTCAGCGTGAGAAACTATCATGGAAAATTCGGATAAAATTTAAAAAGCTGAAAGGTCACGAAAGTCAAAATAATTCAGAAATGACAAGATAAAAAACGATCATGAAAATGGAACAGAAATTCAACGTGCAAAATAATTCTAAAAAGCGTAAAGATAGAAAATCATGGATTTACCACAAATGGATTCTAAAAATAGTCGAGAATATTAAAAATTATAATTTTGGATAGATTAAATTCTACAAGCAGTAAACATCCAATTGCCATTGTGCAAAGCAAGCTACAAAATAGGTTCTTTGAACGTAATATATCTCTATCCGATCAAACTAAATAATATATCTATGTCTGATCAAGCAAGTGTTAATCCTGTAGAAAAAAATGGTTCCTGCAACCATCACAGCTACATGAATTAAGAAGCAGTTAGGAAAAATTGTCCTTCATCCATCGCATTTCACAATTCAAGCGGTCTCTATGAACTATCTTGCAAAAGATTCCTTTCAATGGGCACAACTAGCAAATGGGCCATGGAACTACACAACCAAAAAGAAACAAGTCTTAGACACTAGACAATGGTGATTGCTAATATGTAAACTAAACAACAGGTAAAATGAACTTGAATCAAATCAGATAAATATGCAGAAGATGGTTACTTGTACTCAAGTTTTTGTTGAGCACAAGCAATGATACAATTACACATCAAACACACTCACATACACACACAGAGAGAATCACTCTAGCACCTACTTTATTACCATGTCACAATTAGCTTAGATTTGTGGTAGGCAGACATAGCACATTATACCTGCAGCATAGCACTGCATATATGTAGCAGCAGTAGAGAGAGATGTTCACACTGCCAGTTAATCAGTTACAGCAAGCACGCATGATAGATCGATAGATAAATAGATAGATAGATTGATTTTAGGAAGAAGTAAGGTGGTAGGCAAGGAATGTAAGTGGATGAATGGATATAGGTAGATGTAGATCGATGTAGATATGTACTAGTAGTAGTGGTGCGCGCGCACACACACTAGCATGGCTGCATGACAGAAGAGAGGGGGCATGCTGACAAGAATCAAAATTATAAAAGTTCAGAGGCATACTAACAAGAATTATGTCAAAATTATGCTAACTTCAGCCTAAACCTGACATAAATATAACATGAAAATCATGTCAAAATTATAAAAGTATGAACGGGTACCTGGAAAGACAATATCCTTTTAGTCCAAAGGTCATTCTTACATGGTCTGCATTGTTACACAATCGCATCATAAACAAAGTGCAACGTGGCTAAAAAAATGCACCTATGAAGAATTGAATTTCAGAATTGCACAAATTAAGATTATGCTAGTAACAATAGTAATTCAAACTTACCAGCATCGTTCTTAACCATATAAGACGAGTCATAGGCCCTGCACTCATGAAGATCTCCCTATTCTGCGCGTCCTTGAATACTCCAAAAGATTTGACCTTTTCTTCATTTGAGAGCTCCTCCATCGATTCCACAACAGTGATGCAGTTCCTTATTGAGCAATCATCAGCCTTGCTTGCCTCCTCCCTCTTCTTTGCTTCCTCCTCCCTCTTCTTTGCTTCCTCCTCCTCAGATTGTCTTTTTCTCATCTCCAAGTAACTTTCCATCATATCAACAACATCATTCCTCTTATTCCTCTTCGGTGTCTTTTCTACTCTCTCTCTCTCTCTCAGTAGATTTGGTCTTCTTGACATTCTTTTCTCCATTAGCTCTTGAGGTGATAGTAATGTGGCTTCCCTGATTTTCATGCTCCACTGCATTATCTTCATCTTGAACTTCAGTGGTCTCATCATCATCAGCAACCCAATTTACATCAGGAAAAGAGTCACTTCTCTCAAGATATTCATTCACTTGTGTGAGAGTAGCATGTTGGAATGGCTCAATAGAAGTGAAATTCATGTTGCCCTCAGCAGTTTGGCCTATAAAAAAGGTTGCAATTCACTACCCATACAAAAGTTTCAGTATATACCTATTAGGGAAAATACTAGATCCGAGAAGGGAGATGCATAACTAATGGAACATTGATCATACTGCACCAAAAAAGAATGTGTTCACTAGCAAACAGAATTAGCCATTTAAAGCCTCAATCTTAGTAAACATCATGAGCAACCAAATAATTTGGCATTGATTTCCAATATGCGGATATGAGAAATGTCACTATGCATAACTAATCAGCTATGTTACTGTTGTTTCCTAAGAGGACTACATCATACAAAAGGAACATAGCACAGGTGCAGGATATGTGAAGAAGCCAAAGAAAGAAGGTAGCAGTGCCAAACAACGAGAGAAGAAAACAAATAACAAGGTTGGCTGCACTGAACGTAAGCACAAGGAATCAAAGAATTATGGCATCAAGTAAATTTACCATCATAAAGTTCACCCAAGGATTCAAAGAGAGGAAAAGATTTGTTTTTGCTGAACTTCCTTACTTTCTCATTTGACTGCACAAGATACAAAAACAGATAATTATGGCATGAATACAAATAATAGTGATTTGAATGAGGACAAAACAATTATGCTCAAAATATCATACCGTAATTACGTTTGCCCAAACAGCATCATCAGCAACAATCATGCACCGTTGATTATCCCAAGAAGCTCCACTCTGTTTCCTTGCCTCCTTAAGCAATCTATAATCTCGTTTTAACTCCTTCTCCTTATCTTGGATCTGTTGCTTATTCATGGTGACATAGGGATGTCTGTCACGAAATTCTTTGACGACCTTGTTCCATGCTTCACTTGTCCACCCGTTTTGGCACCGGTAATGTGGGTTATTGTGCTCATGAAGTAAATCAACTATAGCCTTTTCTAGTCCCGGGTTCCATGAAGCTCTTGATTGTTGAGCTATTAGACAAAATTAGATTATAGTAAGTAAAATTTGTAATCATTAATATGAAAGGAAAATACTTCACAAAAAAACAAGTTAGATACTACCTTTTGGAGAAACCTTCTTCTTCTGTATGCTACAGCTCTTTGGTGATGCCTTCTTTTGTAGATGCCTTTGTTGCTGCTGCAATAGGCTTGCTATCGGAGATAGTCTTCCAAACATCATAACTATATTGTAATATTTTATTGAATGAGAAAATACAAACTACGTTGCTTACTATTAATTTGTCCATATCATAAATGTTGATTGCATAAATAAATACAAATCATGCAAAACCAAAATATTATCTATACTATTCTTGCTAGTTACGAACATAATCTTCCCACATCTTCTTAGCAATCATATCTCTAATATTATTCCCACTGATCATTTGATTGCTAAGAGATGGCACATCATTTCGGTATTCACTGTCACCTTCTGGTAGATCGACAAAATTAGTAGGTTCTATATTATCAGGTTGGTTGTCCAACCAGCCCTCATCACCATTAAGCAACCGGATCATGTTGTGGAACACCGCAGCAGCTGCTGGAATCCGCACTTGGTTCTTTATCCGATGGAAAGTGCCTACTTTCAGGATGGGAAATCGCTTCTTTAGAACCCCTAGAGCTCTCTCTACATGGTTTCTCAGAATGGCATGGCGATGATTGAATAACTCCTTGTAGTCTCTAGGTCGACGATGACCACGTCCAAACTCCTTTAGATGGTACCGAACACCACGATAAGAAGTAATGAACTGTGGTGTATTGGCATAACCACCATCTACTAGAAAAAATTTACCATTTGGGACTTGAAAGCCACTATTCATTGCTGATCTAAGGACCCTAGCATCAGTTGCAGACCCCTCCCAACCACATGAGATAAAAGTGAAATTTAGGTCGAAATCACAAGCAACCATCACATTTTGGCTCAAAGTCCCTTTTCTGTTCCTATAATGAGCTGCCTTCTCTCCATCTATAGTTATAGGAATGTGAGTGCCATCAATAGCCCCTATGCAATTCTGCAGCAAAAAGGGAAGAAAAGGACAGAATATGCATGAGTTATTTAATTGGAAAAGGAATGGAAATTCATTTCTAGTTTGAGTGCCAGATTCACCTTGAAGTAAGGAAAGAAGCGAGGATTTGTTCTAATCTTCCAATGCGTTTGGTCGGCATGAGGAAGCTTGAGAAATCTATAGGTGAGAGCTAGGATTATCTTGAAAATAGACTTAATATGTCGATGAAGTGTAGACCCACTATGCTTGAATTCATACTGTAGATCTTGAAAGCTTGCATTGTGAGCGAGCATGAACATAAATATCCCAAGTTTCTCCTCAATCCTCAAGCCTCTACTATCCTTTAACAACTTTTCCTCTCTAAGATAATTCGCTATTGTCTTGAAAACATGAGGCTCCATGCGGAATGCAACTTTACAATCCATTACATGTCCTTCAAGGATTTCTTGAAGCCGCTCTTTACCGGATAGTCTTCAGATATGTCTAGGTATTTTCTCACTATTTGTCATACCGCACAGCATATACATCGCAGGAAAAACAAAAAGCATCATATCATCGTCCTCTTCTCTCCTCCTTTTAATTTCATCCGCCATTCTCGAACTGATTTTATCACTAAAAGAGATATAGAATTACTATACTTTAAACTATGTGTGAGAACATAATAATATGCATATGTATTACAATATTATTAAACATGAAATTAGAGGCATTCAAGGTGGCTACATGCATAAATACTTTTAATACTTTCAGCAAATAAACAGTCTGCAATGGGAGGAGGGGGATCAATAATGTGTTCAGATTTTGACTAGTTCCAGAAGTACTTTGTGTACTTAGTTTTGTTTAAACCTCAGAGATAGCAACTTTAATAAAGTGAGGATATCCTTCTAGGGTAGGATGTTTACTTGAAAATAACAACCTCCTGTTCACTAGCAAAAAAAAACTGAGACCATCTGCCTCCTGAGCAAGATCACATAACATTGTACCTACAATCTCTCTCTCTCCAACTTCAAATTACTTCTGTTACTCTAGTAAATATGCAGGGGCAAGATTAAATGCTTCATATCAGGCAAATGTAAGTACAACTGTATTTAGTTTTTTCTCAAATACCTTGAGTAATATCAACTCCTTCAGCTTTACTTTTGCCAACCCCACACGCCTGTGCCTCTCCTGAAATTTAATTCAGCACAACAGATTATATTTTTGTCATTCAATAGCAATTTATATAGCTTTGTATGGTATGACCTCTAGTAATATATCTGAACACCCAGTTTCCTGAAACTAGTTGTGAACATAGTAGCAGTTCAGAATAGATAAATATGCTAAATTGATTGCTAAGAGTAAAATAGGTATTCGAACAAAAGATGGACAGCTACATTTCTCAAGTTTTAACAAGAGCATTTTGCTAAACAAAAAGCCATGGAAAAAATTACCAAAACTAGAATGTATACTACAGTGTCCACCTGACCACCTCATAGCATGACTTTAAAAATTTTTGTATCTTCTTGCTCATTCAATTGGCATATAGTATTGGTCGTTCAATCTGAAGCTCAAATGACCTTGGCCAAAAGCAAAGTGATGCATTCTAGACAGCAACAACAGAGTGCACTAGTTTTTATTTTTTAGGTGTGCTCCCACTGCATCTACAATAATTCCTGGAGAATCAACAAATCAGGTTTCTCCCTCACAAAAAAAAGAAAAGAAAGAAGAGAGCCCATGTTCAGAAATATAGGATCTGCCAATTCAAATATATATTTCTTTGATTACAGAGCAACTGATAGGCAAGATTTGCGCACACACACAGAGATGTGCATGGAATTTTCTGTGGTTTCAGGTTCTACTACTACAAACCACATCACCCCTCCTTCTAAGCAGAACATGACTGATACTTCAATCCATACAGCCACTCAATACATCAACTAGCAACAAATTCATCCACTAGATAAGTCACAAAATCTTTTGAGTGGGAAAAGAGGAGATCAAGAATCAGACCTGCTTCTTGGTGTCCGGGCTGTTGCCCTCGACCTTGCCCTCTCCCGCAACCAGTGAATCCGAAGCGAGGAAGGAGAGATGGCGAGCGCCGGCGACTGGCTGGGATGGAGAGCGGGAAGGAGAGCGGTGGCGGCGGCTGAAGCGGGATGGAGACCGGCGGCGGCTGAGGACGGGATGGAGACCGGCGGCGGCTGAAGCTGGATGGAGATCGTCGGCGACCGAGGGCGGGATGGGGGAATGCTGGCTTGGAAAAAAAAATCGTCTCCGAGGCGATTTTTCTCTCCCCGTGGGATTGGTGTGGATTGGGTGGAGAATACTCCCACCCCGGCCCAGGCGAACGCATACATGGGCCACGGAAGAAAATTCGACCCGGCCGGGATGGCACACGGGGATTTTGGCCCATTCCCCCCAAACCCAGCCTAAAAGAACAAGGCCTAAAAGAACAAGGCCTAGGTGTGTGTGAGAGGGGCAAGGCATTGTAACTTGTACAATCTGAACACGGCTCTGGTCTTCCCCAACCAGTTCATCTGCCTTCCCCAACTCTCTTCTTCCCCCTTGAATCCTTTCTACGTTCCTGATCCTTTTCTCTTAGATCGGAACGTAACACATGAGCAAGCTCGAGATGGGTACCACAGTGGCACAGTCTCACTCTATCACCGGATACAACTCATATGGATGAAGAATGAACTCGCGCGCGCTGCCGGTGGATGGAGCTTAGGTGGACGGGTGCTGCCGGTGGATGCAGCACGAGAGGATGGGAGGTGGCGAGCAGTGTGGTGAGAGAAGGAAAAAGGAGCAAGAAGATGGGTGGACAAAAAAGAAAAGGGCGAAAATGATGTTTCACATTGTTTGTCTTTCCTCAATTGTGTATATATTATTTTAATGCCTATCGTGCCCAGCAATAAATATACATAGAGTGGTTTATATGTGATGTCTTTCAGCAAAGGTCACGTTTTTTATGTTATATAGCAAGTTTTGCCTAGCAAGTTTTGCCGACTCCTTAATATTATTTTTAAAAATAATATGTTCTATTTGTAAATTTATTTTATTTTGATTAGAAAAAAAATATGAAATGAAGTATATACCATATGGAAAATTTGTGAACATAAAGTATATAATATTTAGTTTAATATATATAAATTGATGTCCTTGATGAATTTTTTTTAAAAAAACAGCATATAGTGTATTTTTTTCATTTGAAAAAAAATAAAAACATATAATTTGCTTCTTTTCGTATTTCTGTCAAATTGAAAACAAAACATATTAACAAATAGGACACTACCTCGGATAACAGGTCAACACCATGTCCGTTGGCGCTGAGATGACTGTCTATTTTTTTAATAAGTTTTTGACACGAACTATTATTTAAATAAGTTCTTCGGAGAGATAAATTTGTCAAAATATCGGTGATTTCCAACCGACAGCACGATCTCCCTGGATCCAAAGCCATTCGGGCTGGAGATGGGGAAAAGAGCAAAGCTTAGCAAAAAAGCTAAGGGAGAAGGGAGAAGGAGAACCCAAATCCACTGACGCTGCTGCAGCCTTATGCGATCCGATACATATTCCTGTGGATCCAACACACGTTACCAAAAAGCAAAAGCAAAACACCACCGGCGATCACACTCAATTACAGGCCGGGATAACAATTAACGTATAGTACTAATTCAGTTGTTTCACTAATAGTGTCGTCCGTCTCATCGTTGTTGGTCCCATCTTAATTAGCTCTCAAATGGTTCACGCACGCACGGACCAAAGGTTATGAAATCAATCTCATCTTATATATAGCTAGTTTTGCTTATAAAAACGGCTATGTTTAAAGATATCCTACGAGATCAGATCCTTCATCAAAGAAGGACTGCAGGCCGGCCTTTCTCGAGTCCCGGGGTGTTCAAAGATGCTCAGAGATCGACGAGCTGGATCACAAGTCACCAGCTTTAATTTATCCGCTTTTTCTAGCTTGGACTAACACATTTTTTACGTATCATATATACAAAGCCATATTGCTACTCTCTTTGCTGCTTGATTGCGCAGTTAGTCGTCCAACCTCGGCCTGCTTGATTTTGCATGCATATATGCATGGCTTCTGAACTGACCCATCCGATGCCGTTGTACGGTACTAGTCGATACCCTCCTTACTCCGGCGCCGTCGAGCGCGCCGGCAAGCGGCCGCCGGCGGACGAGGATGGCCGAGGATCCTTCGGCCCAGTGCTAGTCGTGCTCGCCGTCATCTCCTTCCTCGCCGTCTCCGCGTGCATCGCCGGGCGGCTCTGCGGCCGGAGACCGTCCAAGTCGTCGTCGTCCAGGGGAGAGCAGATGCGTGGCGGTGGAACTACCGCTGCTCACGCGGACGCCGAGAAGGGCTTCGGCGTGATGCAGAATCCGGCGGCGGCGGCGGTCATGAGGCCAGTGCCGAGCTCACGCGCCACGGTGCACGACGTCGACGACGACGTGTTCGAGATCAAGTTGTGCGCTCCGGTGAAGCCGCCCACGGCCGCGGGACGGCAGGGAGGATCAGGCGGCGACGGCGGCGGTGGCAGCGCGCCGCAGCCGCGGCCCCCGCCTGCAGTGCCGCTCGGCGTGCCACGGCAGTACGCGGCAGCGGCAGCTGCGGCGGCGGCGGCAGGTTTCAGGAGGGCTCCACCGCCGAGCGGCGGCGCCGCAGTGAGGCTGACGCATCCGCAGGTACTCGGCAGGGGTAACGGAGGAGCGCCTTTCGCCCATGGAAAGCAGAGTAGATAGTTAATATAGCTTATGATTATGACAGGGTCTAATTACTATAGTTTGTTTGTGAAATTCGATTTGTACTTGCTAGTTAAGTTTGTAAT